GCATATTAAATTCATATGATTGTTGTATGAAACAGTACATTTACAGTATAATTATACTTCAGCCTTCCACCACTTTTTCTATTACATACAAAAAAGACATTGAGCACATTCCCCCTGAGCACCTTTTTTGTCTTATTTTTGTTGTGCTGTCGGTGTTTAGGATATATTTTAAAAACATTTTGTTTTCTTGTATGTATGCAGACTATTTCTTTGGTCCTTACTAACATGTATAGCTCCCTTACTTGATTTTTCCTCCTGGTTTTCATCTGGATAGCTCCAGCATGACCATTTCTTTTGCCAACCTCACCTTCCAATGCAGGGATAGGGAACGTGTACCCCTTCAGATGCTGGACTACAACTACGTACAGTACTATCATCCGCTGTCATTGGTTTTATTAGCTATAGCTGATGAGAGTTGCAGTCCAGTAACAGCTAGAGGGCCCGATTTTTTCCTACCTGTACACTAATTTCTGGCAAAACTGGCAAGGCAAGATAAAAAGTTTTGCAAGTGTTACTGTTAGTGAGCTGGTACAACTGAGTAGTTTGAAGCACCTGGCTACAGGATCAAGGCCTGGAAATCAAATGCCACAAGAGAGTTCAGCCAAGATCACCCATAGCATGAATGACTGATGGGGTGAAGTGCCCTGCCACCTCTGTGGCTTTGGGCACTCTGCAAGGACTAGTAAACTGCTTCTGAGTACTTTATACCTACAAAACCTATCATGGTTGCCATGAGTCAGAAATGACTAATGGCAGATAACTGGTGTGTTGCTGTTGTCTTCAAAAGAATGACTGTTGTAGTTTTGGTGAGACTAGTAATACAGGAAGGGGGCATATATGTGTACACATTTAGACTGTCACCAACCATATTGTGATGGGTATAAATCTCAGCCTACCCACGGTACTCTGTGGGCTAGAATCTGGAGTAAACGGGTTGAGGATTGTTTTTGTCCTGTAATAGGTAGAGAGAATGATGTGAAATGGTTTGGCAGTTTGTGAGCAGTTGTAATGTGCATTCACCGAAACATCAGAGATTTAAAGTATTGGAAAATCCATGTTAAATTTCATCATGGGTTCTTAACTGGTAGTAAGGATCCTTGAAAATTTCATACTCTGTGAGTTCCATTGCAAACAGGATCATGGTGCAGATCAGAATATGGCTAATTTTCTGATTCTCCAAATTTTGAGACAGATTTTTCTGATATAGTTTGTGATTTTTAAAAGGGCGAAAATTCGTGTTAAAATGTGTGTATTTAGATAAACTACATTAACAGTGCCGTGCTCTGCAGGCTTACTTAGATAAAAATTCCAATTGGGCCAAACAAGACTAATCCCAGGTGACTGACAATAGGTTTAATAGCATTCCTATAAATTAAAATATATTTAGAAACATGAATGTTCTGGAAAAACATGTTAAAAAACATTTCAATCATTATTCACTTATAAATGTTCAGACAGATCTATTTTTTAAAAAAAAAACAACAACAACCCAAATCACACATTAATTGAAAAACAATGGAACAGGTATATGAATGAACACATAGAAGACTGAGACAGACCAGAAATAAAGTGATTAATCACTCCACTGAGGAGTATGTTTCATTGAACTGTGTGTGCTTTGTTCTGAATAAACATTCATGGGGTAATACTGTCCATATCTTAAATAAAAATAACTGAACTAAATGAGCATTTTACATTAAACTTCAGAGTTTTTCCATTGAATTAGTAAATTCAATTATTGAGAAAGCAGAACAATCCTTTGCGTTTTAAAACACTTCCACAGAATTCTGTCACTCCATGAAGTTATTATTCTGGTTTACATAATATTTTATTAATCACAAGGCTCCTTAGTGTGAGGTTTAATATATTTATTCTGCCTTCAATATTAAAAAAACTAACATACTTCATATAGGAGCATCAAACTGACATGTCTGAAGCAGGGTGGAAAGTAACCTGTGATTCAATGCCTCAGACTGCTCATGAAACAGCTTAGTATTCTAGAGATGATGGTTGATTATACACTAGAAGCTACAGTACCAACAGTAAAATTTTGCCTCATATATCAGTTTTAGAGAGTATGCTGTTTACATCCCAAAACATTTTTCTGCCTGAAGTGAAACAGAATGTGTACCTACCCCATCAAGTCTGTGCCACTATGGAGTCAGTAGGATGCTGGCTTCCTTTTGCTGTGATTTCATGGCGTGCTGAGTCTGGTTATTAGAGATGACAAACCTACCTAAGGCTAATAATAAGGAAAAGTGGTGGGCAGGGTGTCTGTCCAGTGGTTGTTGAGGAGAAATGAGCCGAAGCATTTTTGTCATAGTTCAGTAAGTCATCACCATTTTGACAACATTTGTGAGAACATTATTGTGCCCTGGGTTGTGTCCCTTGACTTTAAAGAAAATATATAAATGATACTTGTACCATGAAACAGCAAGAAAAAGATCCCCAGACAAATAAGTACAGGATTAAATGCACCCACAGAGAAAGGTACTCAGTTAATCACAGACATCATGCCAAAGGATGTTTTTAGTGCATTATACTGAAATTAGGACTTTATCCAAAGATCCATATAAACAAAAAGTGAACTATTTCTACTACTGCAATAGCAACAGTGGAGATGCTTTCATACACAATACACATCTGCAGTGACTAGTGAAGTTTAGTGTATAAGCTTCTGAGGTGAGCTTAAACTCTTTGTAGCCTCCCAAAGGCTGCTTTGACTACATATGATGTTTAGGCTTGAGGGAATTAACTACAGTTACCCAATCCTATGCTTCATTCATAGCCAATGCTTCTATGTGACTGTCAGCTGATCCCAACACATTGGGTATTATACTGTGTACTGCTGCTTTCCAGGTATATACATGCACAGACAAATGCTGTGTGACCACAGCTATGAAAACTCCCATGATGAATGCTTGCACCTTCAACTTTACCTCACTTAAATGGTTGGCAGCATTTGGCTAGATAGGGATTTTAAAAAGTGGCCCTACAAGTGGTTTTTATCTGCAGCTCCCATGATTCTTGACCACTGGCTTTGCTGCTACAGCTGATGGGGTTTGTAAGTCAAAAGCCTCCTGAGGGCTACAGTGGTCCTCTGCTGAGCTTAGATCTGAAAGTGCAGTTTCATAAGTTCATCGCCCTGTTAATGCCTTATGTTTCTGCTGTTCAGAGGGGTAAGAAGAGAAGTCTGCAAGCAGCTAAATTCAAGACCAGCCCTACTGTTGGACAGTTAGTGAAGTGGCCTGGATGTCCAGGATATCCAATAGATGCAGAGGGAATACCAATTATGTATAGGATAAGGGTGTGTCTGTTTATGTCACTCAGCTTAGCCTGTGTGCCCTTAGGTAGCGTATAGACCCCAGGTGCAGCAGAGGATACTGTCTCCTTGACTGTTCTGAAGATCCAATTGCCACAGTCCAGACCAATCCATTAAGATTCTAGAGAAAGAGGTGTCTCTCTTGCCTATTAACTTCAGTTAGCAAAATCCTTTGGAACAAACCTGTACAGATAGATGATAGTGAGGTTTCACTTTTTTCTATATCACTGTGCTGTTACCTCAGAGTTACCACGTTGGCATTTTGTTTAGTCCAGGAGAACAAGATGTTGGTGGAGCTAGTGTTGCTTCTAGTGTTGCATCTCTGTTTGATTTCCTTGACCCCAAAATTCCTGGGGCAAAGTGCTAGTGGCAGTGAATACACCAAGGATTGAAGTGTGGTGTAGAGTAGAGTTTAGCAGGTGGGACTGGAATCTTGGACATCAAGGATCTATTCTAGACCAGCACTGGACCATAGAGCTCAACGGGTGACCTTCGACTGCCTGTCTGCACTGCCTGTCCACCTGACTTCCCTTACTAGTTTGTAGTCAGAGTAAAATGGGAAGGAAAACCATGAACTTCACCTTAAGCTGATTGGAGGAAAGGCAAGATGTAAATTAATAGTAGTGACAACACAAAACCATAAGATTAGCATCTTTCATCACACTAGTGCTGAGAACAAATGTTTCAACAAATCCCATCAAAATATATATAGATATAAACAGGAATATATACATACATACAGATGCAAATATATACACACACTCAAATGCACATACATAGTCATTCACTAAGTTTGCATCAATAGAACACACATGATCTGTATCATCAAATTGACACATTAACTTACAGTGTGGTAATATTGTTTAGTAAAATCTAAAATCTCACTTATGAGGAATAATCAGTAAGTAGCAAGGAAGATATACAGTAGGTATGTAGCTTTTTGTGGTCTTGTGGTTTATTCACTGGATGGTTAATAAGTAGTTTTGTTAATCACAAGAGAAGTAAGCCAAGAGTCTTCCTGGTTTTGCTATGTACTATCATAAATAGCCACTGTCCATTTATCTTGAATTCAATTTTATGTATTATTTTGAATTGCATGTTTCTGGTGTATATCTTAACAATTTTTGTTCCGATAGAATTTGCTTAGCGTTTTTCTTCTTTTTGTTTTAACCATTGCAAAAAATTGGAATGGGACTTATTAGTGCAAATTATAGAGAAAAGCACCAGGAAGAATATGATTCTAAAAATGGAGATACTGTACCTTTTTTTCCCCACCCACCCCACCTCTCCCTCATTTTTGTTAAAGACATTTTGGATTGCCTAAACATTTTGATTGGCAAATGCTTTGCTTTTCTAATCTTTCTGTAATAGACAATTAATATCCAGACTAATGATACCCATACATGCATCAGTTGGTATTAGAAGGGGGGAAACTCCCCATTACCAGAACCCACTGTTCTACCATGAAATAAGTAGAACTTACTCAAGCAGTAAGCACTAAGGTAACATTCCGCGTTATCTAAATTTATGACTAATTGTTGGTTTATCTGGATGTTCATTTCAGCTTTCACATCAAATAAGTTAAACTGTCAATGTGCACAGACATCATATCTATTTTGAATGGCTTTAAAGGTATTAAAGATAAAAGTATTACAGCAAATGATATTTCGCCTTTCAGGGAAGAGCTTCACTTTGACTATCACAGTCTTCACCAATCCTCCACAAGTAGCCACATACCACAGAGCCATCAAGATAACAGTGGATGGACCCCGAGAGCCAAGAAGTAAGTAATCAAATGGCATGAAAACTCTCTGCAGGAGATTAAGATTCATACTCTTGGTAAGGACAGGTAGTCAATGAATTGCCTCCCTTATATCTGTACAGTGGGATCTTGACTTAAGAACGGCTCGAGTTAAGAACATTTTGACTTAAGAACCGCTCTCACAGGAAAATATTGACTTGACTTACATACTTAGATTTGAGTTAAGAACTGAAAAAAACCACGTGGGAGGCAGGGAAAGTGCAAAATTTGAACTTTCAGTTAACTGTTGGCCAGTGAAAAGGGTGCCTGTCTGCTTCCTCACTCCTCCCAGAGTTTACTCTTGGTAAGGACAGGTAGTCAATGAATCGCCTCCCTTATATCTGTGTTACCAGCTTCCCTACTTTTGACATGTTGGAAACTTTTCATTACGTATGAAATATTTTCTAGTCATGGAGGCTCCTTATATGACTAAAAACTCTGGAAGACCAGCACACTAAACTGCACAAAGAGCCTACAGGGAAGACCAGGGAAGTTTCCGGACTATACAGCGTGAAGCAGGGATGTGATATGACTGAAGGAGTGGGAGCAGCTAGTGCACTCTCAACTTCCCTCCCTCATGTAACTGGAATCATGTGACAGGAAATGCTGGAACAGATCCACAGGCATAATCACATATCATAGTAACAGACAGCCCATCTAGTATGATAGGAGTTGGGCATTTACTGTAATCACATTAACTGAGGCTATGTTGTTGATGTTGTTTAGTTGTTAAGTCATGTCCAACTCTTCATGACCCCATAGACCAGAGCACGCCAGGCCCTCCTGTCTCCTGCTGCCTCCCGGACCAACTAAGGCTATATAGGTCTATTCATATTTACCTAGGAGTAACTTGCAAATATGAATAAAACTATGGCAAGTACTTTATGTAGATATCTCTAGGCTTGGATGGTTAATCTGTATAGCGCAATGTTTCCCAACCCTTTTTAAGTTGTAATCCCCTTTTATAATAGCCAAGTAACCTATGATTCCCCATCACATTTGTGTAAAAAGGACTCTGCCAGGCAGCTCCTCCTCCACAGTTAGCAGGGCAGAGCTCAGTTTCTGCCATGCACAACAAGCCACAGCAAAGTCCTGCCTAGTTGCCTCTTGTGAGCCTTTGACCAGATGTTGCCATCTCCTCCTTCTCTGGTGGGCAGCCATGGCTGCCATTTCCGCTTTGTGCTTTGCTTCTGAGCCTCGTGGCGCAGTGGTTAAACAGCTGTACTGCAGCCAAAAGTGTGCTCACGACCTGGGGTTCAATCCCAGGTAGCTGGCTCAAGGTTGACTCAGCCTTCCATCCTTCCGAGGTTGGTAAAATGAGTACCCAGCTCGCTGGGGGGGGGGGGCAATGTGTAGCCTGCATAATTAACTTATAAACTGCCCAGAGAGTGCTTGAAGTGCTATGGGGCCGCATATAAGCATCATGCTTTGCTTTATGCTTTTTTGTTTCCATGGAGAAGAGAATCAGCCCCAAGAGAGAGCCTTTGATGCCACTGCCAGCTGCTCCCTGCCATGCCTGCAGTCTAAAATAACTGCAATGACCCCTCCCCCTGAAAATACTTTGTGTCCCCCATGGGAATCTCAACGACCAGGTTGGGAACCCATGATATAGAGGTTAGAAAAAAAATTCTTTACCCAGCATATTGTTTGTGGAACTCCTTGCCACAGGAAGTGGTGATGTCACCTGGCCTGTATGCCTTTAAAAGGGGATTGGACAGATTTCTGGAGGAAAGTCCATCACAGGTTACAAGCCATGAGGGGGATGTATAATCTCCAGGCTGAGAAGGAAGGTACCTCAAAATGCCAGATGCAGGGGAGGGGTATCAGCAGACAGGTATCTAGTTGTTCCATGCGGTCCCAGAGGCATTGGTGGGATACAGGAAGCTGGACCAGGTGGGCCCTTGGGCTGATCCAGCAGGGTTCTTCTAATGTTCTTATATATACGTATTGATCACAATATATATATATATATTGATTGCAATTTTTTTAAAAAAAGATCCGAAATGTTTTTCACTTGAAGAGAATACTATAGTATATGCAAAAATTGGAGGCTATGGGCTGCCTACAAGGCACCATGCCTATTATTCAGCATTTTCTGCTCACTTTGACTTTCAGCTACTCATAAGAATTTTAATTTTAGAAACAAAACAGCCCTGTTCAGACCTTCTTTCCCGCCTCCCCCAAAAGCTGGCAAGTAGAACAGAAATGAAGATTGAACAACAAGCAGTTGCTCTTGTATGCAGTTTCTTATATCTCATGTGAGTTTCCAGCCTAAGAAAACAGTAATTGTTGAAGGCAGCACTTCAAGTAGACGGATGGAATGTATTCCTCTGAGGCACAGATTTTCACAGTCATGCCTGCCAATTTTTTCATTCTTAACAATTAAGAATGAGTAAATAATAAATGGTATCTCCAGGGATAGATGCAGAAAATGTGCACATGCATAGTATTTGGAGGAGAAGGACCTCCCCTACCCCACCCCAAGACACCCTAATGCTGGGCTTGTGCAATATCTTCTCTTCTTATTGCCCAAGGTAATAATTAAGTCAGTGTAGAATGGTCATATTTGCATTGAAACATCTTCTGGTTACTTGAGGCTTGTGGTTTTCTTCTTTTATTCCCCTCTCACATTTGGCAGAAGCTTGCAGTTTGAGAGAAGTCAAAATGGTGAGTTCAAATAAACAAACACTCATGGGAAGGAGATCTCTGCAAGTTATGATTATTGAGTTCCAAATCCATTCTGCTTATTTATTATACTTCGCCTTTTCAAAAAAAAACTATACTCCATACTCTTGGAAGAATAGAAGACAATAAAAGTCAAAGCAACAAGACAGACGCATACACCAGGAAACTTTTTGACCCTATTTAGTATAGTATTAGGTGGAAGGATAACCAAATTTGGAGTTAATTTCATTTAATGACATTTAGTATTCCATTTAATGGAATTCACAGCAAAAGCCAAAGGGAAGACATAATTCTAATGTTGCCCTTAAGTAAAAGCACAAGGAAATTCCCAAGGAATCCTAAAATCCTTGATCCTTGCCCACCAAGTTGCAGGATTTGAATTATTGTTCTTCTTAAGGACTAATTATTAGCAACAACAACATCAACAATAGTCGCAGAAAAGGCATAATAGATTATAACATTAAAACACAATTTAAAAAGTCATAACATTAAACCATATTAGAGTGGAACATTTTAGAAGTTCACTGTGTTTATTTGATTGGTTGGTTGGTTGGCTGGCTGGCTGGCTGGCTGGCTGGCTGGCTGGCTGATTGATTGATTGATTGATTGATTGACTGATTGATTGACTGATTGATTGACTGATTGATTGACTGATTGATTGAATTTGTTATTTGCGTAACAGTTGAAGCCCACCTTATTTTGACTGTCTCCCACTATTCAATCTCCACTTTCACAGTGTTTCTTTTTTGTAATGCAAAGAATGGGTCCAAACATAATGGGAAGGGAGGGTAGAATCCTGTTGCTCTATAAGCAAGAGTTGTATGAATGCAAAGGTACAATAGATATGGACCCATCTTCTCTTCCTCATTTGGAAGGACTGATTTGCTTTACAAATTATAGTTATAGTAGAGTAATGATCTGATTTAACTATCATCTCCAATTGTGGATTCTCCCACCACCCCCTTACATGCTTTTCCAGTGAATGCAACTTCAGTAGCTCAGGAGGCTCACTGAACAATTCAACAAGTAAATTGCATAAACACTGTTCCAAACAGTTGACATCTTGGATAATTTATTGATAAGAAGAACGGCTGTTATTTAATTGTTTTCCAGTTTGCACAGACTATGATCACCAGCCTGTTCTTTAAAGTTTAGATTAATAGTTTGTGCACACACATTAAGTATTATCAGATATTTGGTTATGATCTAAGTCAGTTTATCATGTTCATTTTAAGGGGGTGGGTGGGTTCAATAACAGACTTTTTCCTTCCTAAATATTTGTTAAGAAACTCAGGAAAAGAGAAGGCATGACATTTTAAAATTACAGAAACTACATGGCGTGTAAATCAGAAATACAATGTTTTTAATACTGTTCATATAAGTTGTGAAATTGACCAAAGGAATACATTTGCAGCTTCTCCCCCCCGCCCCGCTAAAATGTCATGTACATCTGAGAACCTAGTAATCAGCTCCCTACCCCCATTTCAAGTTGGCTGCTGTAGCAGCTCAGAGCAGAAAGAGTTTCTGTCTGTCATCACTGCTTGCCTTGGTGTCTGGTTATAAGTAAACAGGTGGACTCAAATGAAAAGATGCAAGAACGCTGAAAACTGGAGACCAAGAAACTTTGTGGTTGTAAATAGTAAGGGACAAGAGAAGGTATAAGGTTATGAAAATTGGGCTGTTGTAAGAGCGGATAGACTTTTTGTTTCATTTTATAGACAGTTTTTCCATTCTCAATATGCTGCTTTCTCTTTATCCTTTGTGCAGGTGCTAAGACTTGTGCTTCTCTAAAGCAAAGAGAAAGGGTTCCAAAAAGAGAGATTTCTACTCCTCCATCATGCTTTTGGCTTTTACTTATTAATTCTGTTTAGAGTAATCAATAGACATGGGAAGTTGTTCAGTGTGATTTTCATAAGAGCTGGTTGCTCATCTGTTTAGTTAAATAAATAAATAAATAAATAAATAAATAAATAAATAAATAAATAAATAAATAAATAAATAGTGGCACCATTGGGCTTTGGGAAGAGAAATGGCAAGAGCCCCAGTTAATAGATGAAAATGTATGTTTCCTATATGTATGCACAGTCATTTATTTAATTGTTCAAATGTAATGCAATGCACAGTTTCCTGTGGCCCTATATTGAAAGAAGGCATAGTTACACAGAAATTTTCCACGCTGATGGTTTGCCGATTTAGTGTAGGGCACAGTTCTCTGCAAGAAGAAGAAGCATGAATGGCTTAAGGTTTTGCTTAGTAGTTCTGAAGAGTGACATCCATTATATTCCCTGATAGATACA